AAGGTTTTATCTCCGGGTTCTCCAGTTTTCCTCCCTCCACAAAAACCAACAACTCCAAATTCCAGTTCAGGACCCACATGAAAACCAGCTAAGGCTGATGTGGCTTCTTCTCTAAATATTGTTATTTAATTTTATTTAATATAACTCTGCTATAGCTCATGCCGAAAGCCCCCACCCCCCACTGTAAGCCCATCCAGATCCCCTTATGAAGTTGTATAAGCCCAGGGCTTATTACCAGCAGTTTACAGTATGTCCTAACATGTTCTAAATTTTAGACTCTAATATTTTATCCACTGTAAATTTTGTTTCTTGGGAAGTTTCGTTTTATTTTTGGGGAAAATGACACTGTCATGCAACATTGTGTTGCCAAATGGTTTAAACTTAAACATCTGAAAAAAAACTCATGTTTCTCAGTTGGTCTACACTACCTACTTGATTGCCCAGGAATGTTACTTGGGATAATGCCAATAAACTCTCAAAGTTAACATCTTACAAAATTAATATAAATTGACTTTGACAGCCAATGTGAATCAAAGGAAAAGGAAAAACCTTCCTTGGCTGATAATGTCTTCGAAAATTCTTTGTACTTACAGAACATACATGCATTTTTGCATCTCCTGTTTGAACATTAAGTGATCCTGTGAATATTTTGTATTTACAAAATTTGTAAGTCTTAATGGTGACCAGATTATTTACCAATGTACTCACCCAGTCGACTCTTGATTCAAGCTATGGCCCCTACTGAAGTAGTCATTCTCAAGCAAAGCATTTTTTTAAGGCCAAACCCAAATACACTGGAATCTCCATTTCTTAAACCCTCAATTATTTATTGAACCTCCTGATAATTCAGAAAAAACATGGTCCCCTTCACATTTTGATTCATTCAAATACTAATAATTTTACCTTGATTTATTAAACCATGAATCCACAATAATTCAAAACCAGTTTTGTTTTCCCTGGTTATTCAAGAATAAAATCCATCATTGTCACCTGCAGGAATACTGCTGTTTAGCAAATCACCACTAGGTCTGGTGTTTAATTATATTGGCCAAAACATCTTTGACCTGATTGCTTGTAGCAAATTAGAGGATCTTTTCTGTAGCAGTTGAAAAGATTCCCAGAAGAAAATGCTGTAGTATCAGAAACCATGTGTTGACTTGAAAGATAAACTGTTAAAAGTGTAGTTTTGTAAGTCACTAGGTTATGACTTTATTTTGTATCATATTTTTACTGCCTTTACCTTTGTTACTTTAACTATATTGTGTTTGTTATTCCTTTTTTCCATCTTGTTTGATTTTGAATATGCTTTTTGTCATGCCAAAGTTGTACTAGCAAAGTAACTTGCTGTTTTGATCTCCTGTTGTTGTTGTAATGAACTTTAGGTGACAGTGAACCTCCATCATTCCAGTGCCAGAAGTGTCGATATGGCTTCAACCTTAACTGGTCAAAAACTAACCTTGAAGAAATCTTTGGACTGCAACCTACAACATCTGCACCCACTGCCACTACTGCTGCCTCCTACACATCAACTGCGTCAGTGCCCTATCAGGCACGTCCTGCATCTTACATGACGTCTACTGCTTACCCACGCTACCCCCCACCAAGTGTGTTACCACCAGGATACCCACCCCCTGTGGGGGTGCCTCCACCTGTACCCTACCATGGGTAAGTTGAAGGATCCCTGCTAGGGTCAATCAATATCTAGTAATCTGATTTACCATGAATTTTTGGTTAATATTATTCTTTTCCTTTTCCTTCCTCAGCTATTCACCTACCTACCCCAGTTATTATGGTTCATATTATCACCCTCCTGCAATCCCCCAACCTGCAGGATCATATTCTCCCTACTCACCGGCTGTAGCACCCCCTAGGATACCTCTCCCTGGGACAATTCCACCTGGAATGCCCCCACCTGGCATACCACCCACTGGGATATCTCCTGCTGGTATACCACCCCCTGGGATACCTCCTCCTGGTATACCACTCGCTGGAATTCCTCCTCCTGGTATACCAATCCCTGGGATTCCTCCTCCTGGTATACCACCCCCTGGGATTCCTCCTCCTGGTATACGGCCCCCTGGGATACCTCCTCCTGTTGTACCACCCCCTAGGACACCACCTCCAGGTTATCTCCCACCAGCTGTTCCCACAATCCCTCCACCTGCAACTGCTTGGGGAAGTTACACACGCCCCACATACCCCACCCGTCCACACTACCCTCCCGCTTCTACAGGGTACCTCCTACCTCCCACTGGAAGACCCTATCAGCCACCACCACAGATTGTGACTCCTCTGAGGGCTAGGGCTCCACGCCCTTTGTACCAGCCTGTAGTACACAGTGGGATGTCAGTGCCACCAGGAGCCACTCCATCCCAGCAGGAGCCAAGTGCTGAACAGACTGTTGAAGGTGAAATCAGTAAAGTAGCAGCTGCGAGATTTGAGATGGTGTTAAATCAGATCGACCTAGCAAAGGCTCGTGTCCGCCACGAGAAGAAGCTGATGAAAGAGTTTCAAAAGGAAGTTCTTGGGACCACTGCAGCAGACATTGAGATGCTTCATCAGCAGGACACTGAGGAACCTAATGCACTGACAGATGAGGGACAAAGCATGCCAGAATATGACGAAAAACCACCTGGTGATGATGATACAGGTACTGGTTGCACCTTCATTAATAAGGCAGTAACACCTGTAACAATGAGAAGAGTGAAGACATGATTGATCTTCGCAGTTATATACACAACTCAAGCAGTTGTGAAATTAAAGCCTTAAAAAATTCAGGCTTGAACGGGATTTGAGCCCATGACCTCTGCGATACCAGTCCAGTGCTCTACCAACTGAGCTACCAAGCCAATGGGGAGCTGGTCACGTTGTGACTTCATAATATGCCCATAGATGGTGAAGATACAAGTGAAGACATGATTGATCATCGCAATTTTTTACACAACTTAAGCAGTTGTGAAATTTAAGGCCCAGTGTGAGATTGTAGAAATTGGATTGTAGATAGATATACATGAAACGAGGCTAATTTGAACGGCAGCTTGAACGGAATTGGAACCCATGACTTCTGCAATACCGGTGCAGTGGTCTACCAACTGAGCTATAAAGCCAACCAGCTCCCAACTTTGCCTAAATTACATTAAGCTCTGTGAAAATCAGTGTAGTGTCTCTGATCGCAGCTAGGTTTTGATATTTTCAGGCACAAGCATCAACCAATCTGAGACGCTACGTGTACACAGGTTATGAATTGTGTTGAATCTGAGAACTCTGTAGAGTGGCAAAATTCAAAGTGCATGAAGAGATATGTAGCCTTTTATCTTTCTCGTTTTCATTCCTATGTTACTTTTTCCCACCAGGTTTTGGCCCTAATGTCATTATCACCCAGTCATTAGAGGAAACGAAAATTGCCGATTCGCCAGTGAACACCTCGGTACTAGCACATTCTGTTTCGTCATCACAGCCAATGCCAGCGGATATCAATGAAAAGCCACAGATTCCAGTCCATGAACATAATGCTGAAACCGGCAACCTGATAGACAATGTTGCCGTTGAAACTGGCCACGACTCCAAGAAAGATCTAGGCAATGAAGATGTTGAAAATGATTTACCAGAGACCACGGAAACAAGTCTCAAGAAGACAGTTCCAACTCGAGGTGGTCGTCCTGGACGATCTAAACAGCAAAACAAGTTGCCGCCTCCTAGAGCTGTAGCCTCCACTCGACAGACGCGACGATCTCGAAAATCTGAACCTACTACCTCTACAGATGATACGGACTCCACAGCAGGCGAGGAGGAAGCTGCAGCAGTGACTGGAAGGTCAAGACTATCCCAAAAGACCCGACCACCCAGCAGAGGGGTAAAGAGGCTGGAGATTGGAGCTGTCCAAGACAATGAAGTGCATGGAGGTGTTGTAGCGAGTGACGTTGAGATGGGTGAATCATCAGATGTGTTGAGTCAGAGCAGTGCTGTTCCTCAGACTGAAAGTGATTCGCAGGACGTACCCAGTGAAAGCTTGCCCTCCTCCTCGGAAGCAGAAGCTGCTCCTGTAGTTCCCAGTGCCACAGCTCGCCCACAACGTGGAAGGGCCACACGAGGCAGAAAACGAAAGCAGGAAAGCGTTGAAAAGGAAGTTCCCGGGCCATCAGTCAGAAAGTCACGACGAGTGGCAGCAGAAAATTTGACTGTAGAGGAACTCCACAGTGAAGAAAATGAGGAGCTCGAAGATGAAAAAATGTTAGTAGACAATCCAGTTGTCTTAAGCCAAGGGGAAGACACAGAAATGACTACCACATGTCCCAGGGTAGGACGATCCAAAAGAGGCGTCACCCAGCCTGATCATGGTGATGACGAGTCAACAGCTGATGGCAGTAACCTTGATCAAAGTGAAACGGAGTCTACGACAGTGACACAAGAACCTGATAAGCCCATCACAGAGAGACGCACTAGTAGACGCCAAACGAGATCTGCGCAGATACCGCAAGAGCCAGAAGAGTTAACAGCAAGTGAAACTAAAACTGATCCTCAAACAGAAGAGTCTACAGTCACTGTACAGGAGGAGGACGGAGCACAAGAAGATGAAAAGACCACGAGCAATCGCCGAACTCGTAGATCAGCACCGAGAAATGTTTCACAGGAAAGCGTTAAAACTGCCAGCCATCGCCAAACACGAAAATCCGTACAGCTGCAACCGCAAGAATCTGACGCGCCAGACACTGAGCAGAAAGCCGACAGCAATCAAGTTCAAACGCTAGAAAGTGACACGCCCAGCGACAACAAACTCACGGATGACCAGCCATCTGTGTTGGTTGAGCAGAAAGTAATAGCCCCAAACGGTTCGTTGGGGGCTGAAGAGAAGGCCAACCGCCGGACAAGAAAATCTCGGAAATCTTCGGCTTCAAGCGAAGATGCATCGGTTAGTAGTCGAGTTGACGTTCATGAGTCCCAGGAGTCCGATGCGTCGACGACAACAGAGGAACTTGCTAGCAAGCGTCAAACGAGGTCTCGAAAATCACCAGCCTTGCGCAAACTTGAAACAACCCAGTCTGATACACCCACAGTAGGCGAAGCTGAACAGACACCACCAACACGGAAATCTCGGCGCAGATCTTCAGCTTCAAACGAAGACACAACAACAGGAGCTGCTCAGTTGTCGGTAGCTGAACCCGACCCCCCTGAAGGCAGTGCTTCTTCAAGGCGAACTCGCAGGAACAAATCCACACCCACGACTCAAGAAACTACTGAGCTACCACAGGAATTGGACAGTCTGACTGCGGAAGGAGATATTGTGGAGGTAGATTCTATAGTGCCTCAGAAAAGAGCGTCTAGGAAAAGCGCGCCGGTGGAATCAACTGCAACAATCACTAAAAGAGTTACTAGAAATCGGCAGAAAAAGTAAACAGGTATGGCTCTGGCCCAGGCCACGCCGCTGTTGTGTACTGAACGGGATATTGTTCGACCGAGAAAACTGAGTTTTAATTAGTCTTCAGTGGACGTTCTTGACAGATTCTAAGAGCGGTGTGAGATCTTTTTCCATCTTGGTCGCTTAGTCTCCAGTGTTAACAATCATTGTTTGGTTATCGCATTGTTCAGATATTTTATGGCTCAATCTTTAAACTGAAGTTAGTATTGGCACATCCAGTTGTACTTGACCGTGGTCGTTCAAGATTTTGCCACTAGCAAGGAATGTTGTTTCGTACCGAACAGCCGTTTTTTTGCACGGCGACTGTCCAAAAAAATAGTTGTTTTGTGTTTCGTCGTAAAAGGTGCCATTGTAAATAAGACAAGTTTGAGTTGGACGAGAGCAGAAGGGTAACATTAAAGTTTATTCAGGTTGCGTTAGACACTGATCTTTACAACAACGACAGCTTATTTTACCACGAAGGAACATCAATGCAGAATTAAGTAATAAAACAAAAAAAAAAGTTATAAAACAAAACTCTGTGTTAACTGCTTTAGACCGGTCTCCCAACTTTCTCCTCTCTGCGACTTGGCTTCCGGGTGTACCTCCGGAAATCAAGTGAAAGAGAAAAATTGACTCGTCGCTGTCGTCCCATATGTGAACATTGTTTGATGCGCGACATGATGGAACATCATCAGATTTTAACATAGGGAATTTAGGTAAAAGTTCTAGCTAGAAGTGACATCCATACGTTTATAGAATGCCTGCGGGTGCTGTAATCAAACAGTTTTAGGTAGAGATTCACAATTGCGCATTTTCGGGAGGGAAACCGGCGTTGAAGTAGTGAATATCCGAGTCCAAGAATCTAGCCCGTGAAATCGTCTGTCTTCTAGAGCCACCTTTTGTTCGTATTGGGTCGCTGAGTCGTCTATTTATTTATGTGTTTTTGAAGTGACAAAAGATTGGAAGCGAAAATGAGAGCCGCTATACAATCCTCTCTCCCCCAAAAATGTACAAATAGGGGAATGGGTAGCAGTCGGATTCGGTCGAGGAAACAAGAACCAGATGATGGCGATAGACAGGGAATAAACCATATTCGCTTTCTCGGTATTGGACTGGGACTAGCTTGCAACTGAGGCTAATGCGGGGGTCTTGATCTTTTTTTTAATGATATTCCCGGCAGAAGCCTTCATCGCAAGCTAGTGCCAGTCCAATACCGAGAATACGAATATGGCATATTGGTCTCGTAGCCCTGGCTGAACCGGCTCGACGTTACCAAAAATGATTTCGCCATACTAGCGTGAGAACGTTCGGTGTGCACTTAAGTAATCGCGTTATTCTTTGATTGGATAATCAAAATCAGAATCTTCACGAAAGCTGAACGAGGATTTGCATAAAACGGAGCTTGTCGGCTCTAACTGTATTGATTTTTGAATTATTTAGAACTCAACAAATTACTGAACGTCTGAATTTTCAAATATGTTGATGGGAGGAAGGCGGTGCGAGGGTCTCTCTGGCGCCACTAGGGCCTTATTCAGAAGGAACTCAGTCTGGATGGACTTATTGCATCCTGTCAAAACTGGCATCTTGTGCGATTGCACCAGAACGGCCTCTGGTGCCGAGTCCCACTGAGTCATCTCTGACGCATCTAGCTGGTCTGCATGGCTCACGACATTTCTTGAAAAAAAGACAAGTTGAAAGCAAGAGTGATAAGGAAGTATTTAAAATTATACAAAAAAAATACTTAACAGCAGATTCACAAAATATACGGACATATCTCCATGAAATAAAACATTAAGAGAAGAAGACAACCACTTCGCCAGGGCTTTCCCTGGAAGTTTGGAAGACGCGGAAAACCTCAAAAGAAAAGTCCTGGGGACGAGATTAGGTGGAATAAGAGTCTCTAAGGTTACCGTTGAACGGTGATCATGTGAAACAGAGCTCTTAATCTGGACCAAACTGTTTGTAATCTAGACGAACCTGTTTTTCCTTAAGTGGTGACGGCAGGAATAAATTAAGACCTCAACGAGAATAACTAGCCAGGCGCTAAACAGGAGTATTATAGCGATGCACAGGGACACCAGTGTTTTGTAGTCTGCGTCAGAAATAGCATTTCCTAGATAAAATAAGTGAGAAAAATACCTTAGTTGCTCAAAAACCGATCTTTGCATCAAGAATCGCATATTGCATATTAGTCTCTTTTGTTCGATAATACAGTGTGCGACTACTCCGGTACACGAAGGATCTTCTCTTGGGTGGGGGAATGGAGGAGGATTTGAAGTGAAGTACCTCCTCGTCCAATTATCGTGGATCTTTTGATCCAGTGATTGATTTACTGACTGAGAGATTGACTCAGCTTGCACAACTGATCAGAATTGTTTTCTACTATTACTATCTGTCGTGTACAAGTGCACAAGTGTTCCAACTTTAATCTTAATCGTGTACTTGCCTTTCCAACATGGCCTTCCCCGCCATCGTGAGACTGTCTTATCTTGCCGCAATCAGCTGAAATCACTATATGAAGGCTATTTTTCACGGCTACTCGGTCAGTTTCTCAACAGTTACCGCACATACGCTTCTTACCTTCACAATTACATTGAGAAAAAGTAGCTAACAGGCCGAGTAGCAT